AAGGAGGGAAGGGTTTAATTACACTGGGCCTTTTCAAACCATTTTCATGATTGGATAGGTTCATGGGTTCAGATGGGACTTAAATCCAAATTAAGGCTCAGTAATGCCCAGATTACAGTGGGCCAATCAGAAGCCCAATTATATTACTTCACTATATACCAGTATTAAAATGTTGACAGCCCAAAAATTCTAAGTAGTTGTAATAATGTACTTCTGAGATACGTTTTTATGGACACAATATTTATCTCCAACAACGCACACCGAGCTACACTTCCAAAAGTTCAGGTATACTCTGGCAAACCTGTTTTCTAGGTGGACTTTAATAACTTACATAGACAATTGTATTGGTATGATTTTTTTTTTTTTATCCTTAGCTGTGCACCGCCCTGAGTCCAATAGGAGAAGGGCGGTATATAAATTGAATAAATAATAATAATAATAAAATTGCTTCCAAATGAACACTGCATTTTTCAAAACAGAAACATGTTCCTTTGTTTGAAAAATCATCTTATTGTCAATGTCATTTGATATAAATATTTTTATCTCTTGTTACTAACAAAGTTACTTCAGGATGGCTGATTCCAATCAACATTGATCATAAAATGTAAAGGCTATTAGCATCAGAAAGGGATTGGGGCAGTGGTGAAATCCAATTTTTTTTACTACCAGTTCTGTGGGCGTGGCTTGGTGGGCATGGCAGGGGAAGGATACTGCAAACTCTCCATTCCCACCCCACTCCAGGGGAAGGATATTGCAAAATCTCCATTCCCACCCCACTCTGGGGCCAGCCAGAGGTGGTATTTGCTGGTTCTCCAAACTACTCAAAATTTCCGCTACCGGTTCTCCAGAACCTGTTAGAACCCGCTGGATTTCACCCATGGATTGGGGGCATGGAAAGGAGAAAGTTTTTTTTTTAATGCTTAAAGTTGTTAAGCTGTATTGATAAATCTTTATTGACAAAATATTGACATTGAGATACTTCTTGGAAGTATATAGTGTGTTAGAATTCTAACAAATTAAACACACAACACAAAAATATTTACATTCTGGTAAATAAGACAATAAGGAAACATTTGTCATTTTAGTCAGCCTTTCCCAGCCTGGTGCACTTCAAGTGTCAATTCAGTTCCCAGAATTCCAAAGGCCATGTTGGCTGGGAATTCCGGGAGTTGAAATCCACCACTTTAAAAGGCACAGTGTTGGAGAGGTTCTTTTTAATAGCTGTAAAATCTTGGAACAATTGACGTTATTTATTTCAGTGCTTGAAATCCCTCCCAATGGAAAATGGGTCAGGGTTGAAATGCCTTTTCTACACTGGTGCCTCCCAGCTATGCTGGACTACTATTCCCATGACCCCAGATGCTGGGCATTATGGGAATTGCAGTCTTCCGCATTTGGAAGGCCCAGAAAGGCTGAAATGTCTTCAGATCCCTCCAGTAATTCTGTTTTTAACACAGCCCATTAATGGAAAGAAAAAATATATATAACTGGAATTTTAGGACTATTTTCTTGAAATTTCTGTCTTGCAGCAAAATTACAAAGGTTCCTTTCCCTTCCACCTTTCACAACCTTTATCCATTCCTTCAGAGGGTATCCCATTTGGGGAAAAGCAAAACTGATTGGGGGAAAAAAATAGAATTTGTTACCGCTACTTCGTTTAGTTTTCACAACCACATTGACACCAGAAGTTATAAAAAAGAGTTACAAACTGCACAGCTTCTCATAAAATAAACTTTAAAAGCACACTGAACCTGTCTCGGGAGGAGGGGGGGGAAAGTACACTTCATACCCCACACCTCCCTTTAGCAATCTTTTCTTTCAAGCGCTGCACCCTCCTTCCTCCCCTTCCCAAAAGGTCTTTTAACCAACCAACCAACCAAAAAGAAAAAGAAAAGCATGCAGTTCAAGTTTCTGGAACAGGTGTGTCGATTTTGGCTAGGTGGGATTTTCTCTCCCTCAAGACTGGGAGAAAATCAGAATGATGATTAATAAGAATAAATCCCTCGTGAAGTGCAAGGTGTCCCTACGCCGCGGCTGTTGGGCAGAGTGTAGGGATTTATTTCCCTTTTGAAATTTGAAGTGATTTCGTTCTGAATGGCAAGAAACTGAATATCGGTCAATCATCTCCTCTCGGTGATTTGGCTTTGATTGGCAGTCTCTCTCTTTCCCCCACCCTCAGGTCTCTCGCTCTCCCTCCCTCCCTCCCTCCCTCCCTCTTTTATTTTTATTTTTATTTTATTTTTTGTTTTGTACCGGTGCAGGATCAGCGCGATCAACGCTCGGACTGACTCTCGCCGCTGCCTCTGTCTAAGCCAGACGGGGCCGTGCAAACAAGCCGGAATCTGTCTCTCTCTCTCTCTCTCTCTCTCTCTCTCGCCCGGCCACGACACTCACTTTCCTGGGCTTGTCCCGAGCCTTGAACACGTGTGCGGTGTTCCTGGAAAAGTCTGTTAAGCGCCAGCATCGAGTTTCTCTCTCCCTCTTTCTTTCTTTCTCTTTCTCTCTCTCTCTCTCTCTTTTTTGCTGCTTCTTTTTCTACTTGTTTAAAGGGGTGATTTAATCGTCGGACGTGACGTCGATCTCCTCTGGGCTGGCCTGCTTGGTGGCGATCCTCCACCGGTTAATATGATGAGTTCCTTTCTTCTTCTGTTGGGAGTCCGAGCCTTCTTCTTCCAACTTCTGCCGCTTGAACTTTGTCCGTCGATTCTGAAACCAAACTTTTACCTGGGGGAGCACAAGGGGACAGGAGGAGAAAACAGAAGCGGCTATTAAGCTCGGGCAGGGACTCCCTGCTAGTTAATTCTAATTCATTATCATTAGGGGGGATTTTTTCCCCCCAAAGGATCCTTTTCTGCCCCTTGGAATGCTGCAAATCTGCGCCCAGGACCTTCTTCCCGGATTCGAATATATGGGACGCGCCCCACCACCACCCCACCCCTCGTCTTAAAGCGAACCAGGAAGCAACGAGAATAACTCCAAAAAGAAACTTCTCACTTCGAAAATGTCCCTAATCCTCACAGCCTTCTTTACCCTCCCAGACGCTGAGAGTTTGGTTTTAATTCCAGAAGCGACCTTCATCCACAATCCTTCCAACCAAAGGCCACTGGCGGTCACCTCACACTTTCCCTTCCCACCACTATAAATGTATGAGCAAAGGCGCACTGGCTCCTTTCTCCTTGCTACAAATGAAGCGTTCAGCAGCAGCCTAGAGAGAAGTGCCAGAAATCCCCAGAGCCGCCTCCTGCCTACCTTTGATAGCAGGAGCCAGGATCGCAGGCGGGCCCTCGCCCACACACCACCACGCAATACACACCCACTGTAGCTACACGAGGGTATTCCCGGACTAATAACTTAACACTAGAGTTGTAAACCTTAAACCTGGCCGTTACACGGAATTCTAGTTTCGAGCTTACAATTATTCAGAAGTTAATTCGAAAATGGGTTAATTAGGAGCAGCGATGCAGGAGGGCAGGCTGGGATTGGAGGCTGGGTAAAGACTTTTAAGATTAAGCCCCTTTGAACACCAGTCTTTTCCCTGCAAAACGGTATCCGACCATTCACGTGTAATTTATAGAAAAATTTCTCCACGGAGTCTAATGGGACTTCCTTTAAAGCAAGCGACCAAGCCGTGAAAAGCTATGTTCTTTCTCCCTTACTTGCTCTACCCAGAGCTTCGCCTGGTCTTGGAGCCTGACAATATGGCATTTCATGCGAATGGGTGCTTTAAGATCCTATGCACGCTTACTGGGAAATAAATGCCATAGAAATTAATGGACTTCCCGTGGCTTCGGAAGACAATGCCAGGATCAAAGGCAATCTCATTGACTTCACAGGAACACTGACCTCTTGCCTCTCTGGAACTCAGTTAAGCCACAGTAATTGGGCTTTAAGATTAATCTCCCACTTTAGGCACAGTCCTTGGAAATATGCCCCCATTGATGTCAATTTAGGACTACAGCTTTTCACTCTTGACTGGAACGCGTTTTTAACATTAGATTCCATCAGAAAATCAATAGGGCTCCTCTCCCGGGAAAATCGTTCAGGATCATGATGCCGAATGTTCAACACTCGTTACAACACACCGCTTGGATCACGCTGGAGGATTGGATTTTGAATGCCACCGGAGCTTCTGACCGCATTCGAATTCTAAACGCTTGTTTTGAATTAGGGGGCACTTCGATCATAAAACGTCAACTTCTCGCCAACAAAGCATCATAATTCTATTAACATACCCCGTTAAGCCGAATTATCCCACGATTTAACACCAAGGAGCTGGTTCACACAACAATTTAAAATCTGATGTGATTCGGTTTGCTTGGCCTTGTGTGAACAGAGTCTCTGTGCTGTAGAGTGACTTCCTATTTACTCCAGAATAGCTCTATTATGGTCTGGTGGTGGTGGTGGGGGGGGAATACCTTCTGTGGACCCCACCTCCTCATATCTCAATGGACCACTGTCAGAAGCCTTATGCCCATTTACCTGGACTCAACCCTGGTGATTTGATTTTAAACACATTTACTCTCCCTTGCCACATATTTTGCTTTAAATAGAGCCTCATTGACCAGGAGCTTCCACCCCCAAGAAGAGTTGGATCTATGTACATTCACCTGCACACATTCCTGTTTGCATTGCTCCATGTGTTTATCTGCATCAATCCATGATATATATCTCTGTATGCCATGTATACACACACGATGTATTTAAAAAATCTGACAGGGAGGAAAAGGGACTGGCCTCTGTGTCGTTTACTGAACGGTGGCAGCCACATCTACATATTGTGGGTATTAAACATAATGGAGTGAAGGTGTTCTGTTCTTGCGGAGAAGGGAATATTTACCCATCCAGTCTGCTTTCAGGTGTGTTTATGCACGTTATCACACCTGTGCCCAATTCCTGAGTCCCCACATCATCTCTCTGTGGTGCCCATTACAGGACATTTTACACAAGAAAATGATGGTGACAGTACTTAGGAATTCCAGGGTTCAAGTTCTTGCTATTAATCACCACAGCTTAAACACAATAACAACTAAGCCAGACTTTTTTTTTTAAACAAAAATTCCTCCTCCACCCATTTTCTGCCATCTTTCGTTTGATCTTTCCCCTGAAAAGCGGCTCTTACTGTGGGACCGATTAAGAGACAGGCCTACCAACATTTAGCCCAAACTCAGCTAAGGCTCCAGGTTAATTTAGGAGGGGGGGGAGGAAATCCCTTTAAAGGTGGAGGAGGGGATTATTCTACCGTAATTAAAAATAATCAAAGGGGGAGGGAGGGAGAGCGGCGAAGGAGCTCAGTTAATTAAGGAGGAGGTTCGAATTCTGCCAACTTCCAATAGAGGCTTCTTTTGTACCAAGCGCTTCTGTCTTATCAAAGGAGGGGAAGGGGCTTCAGGTCTCCTAGAAGCTCGGGGGAACCGCGATTGGAGTTAAAAACGGGAAAGTCCTTCAGATCGGGCCCTTTTAGGAAAGCAGGGAGGAAGAAGTGAGTTCGCGAAGGGTGGCGGAAATCCGAATCAAACCCGACCCTGCTGAGGCTGCGGGTCATTTAGTAATAGATTATATTGGTCCCGAAATTACCTTCGGAGCGCTTGGAAGTGACCCTGTGGCGGCCAAAGGTAAACGCGGTTCTAAAAGAAGGAATAGGAAAAGGAGCGCTTTCTTTCTTTTTTTTTCTTTTTTCGGCTTCAGCCTGGAAATGCCCGATAAAGGCTTTTCACGGAAGGGGAGGGGGAGGCAGGGGGGGAAAAATCCGAAAACGGGACCATTTTAATCAGCCCCTTTAACCCGCTTCGCTGCCCTTTCTGAAGCCCTTCGCTGCCAGGAGCCGCCTTTCCTCCCATCTCGGCTGCGTTTTCACATTCTCTCCCGAAGCCCCTTCTTTATATAGTGTGAGCGGGGGAACAAGGGGTGAGTTTAATTTGCTTTTCAGCGTGCTAATTGAAGGGGACGGCGGTTCATTTCTCCACGCCGATCTCCAAAGGGGAGCTCATTTTGTCGGGGACCGGGGGCCTGACACCACCACAATAGACCCCGACCAGCTTCGGAATCAAGCGGGACAAAGACCACCTTAAATCAGCTTGTCAGCAGCCCCTTGTCGGGCGAACCTCATCAAAGCGTCGATCCCGTTGACTGGGATTTTGTGAAGGGAGGCACGTTTAAAACAAAAGACTCAACCTCGTCCCTGCTTCTCCTCCGCTCCGCCCCGAGAAAGGCAAGAAGGGTGGAGGGGGGGAGAGAGAGAGAGAGAGAGAGAGAGAGAGAGAGGAGGGAGGAGGAAAAAGTGTTACAACTTAATCCGACCCAAGAACGTTACTGTTTACTGGGAACTTTGAACTAAGCTGGGTCTATTTTCCCCTTCTTCTTCTTCGCCTCCCGCTTCTCTTCCTTCCTTTTAAACACGAGAATAACGTCGCGGTGGAAGCGTCTTTCTTCCGAAATGGCTTGGAGGGGAGAACAAGGCCCCCCAAACTTAAAGGAAGGCGCAATAACCAACCTGAACTACCACCGGAAACTCAGGCTAAAAAAAAAAAAAAACCTTCACCCAACGCCTACCTTAAACCAACCCTCTGGTTACAAAGATGCAGGCGCCCAGAAGGCAGCTGAGCAAGCTTAAAATTCAGCCTGAGCGATTAATTTGATCTGCTTTCCCCTCTTCTTCCTCCTCCTCCTCGCCAACCCCTCCCCCCCCCCACCGCCCCACTCCCAAGGTTAATACAATAGATCATTATCCTAAGCACACTTTTCCAAGCGTCTCTTACGGCCTCATCTGGGCGATTGTTAAACAACGCCATTCTGGTCCCATTGCTTTGCCCTGCGTACCAGCGTTTTGATGTGTTTATTCCCCTGGTCTCTCTCTCTCACACACACACAGACTCACTCACTCACTCACTCACACGCACACAAGCCCACTAATATCTCCTTTGGATCGGAGAACATCCGCGCTTCTCAACGGCAGAACTTCCAACGAGCTCAGAATTCAAGTCACGGAAGTTGGGGGGGGGGAGGCCAAGCTTCGACCCACAAATCCGTGGAAGACGATTTTAAGAAGATTCCGGTTTCACTGGAGAACGGAAGGCCTTTCTTTTTTTTTTTTTTAAACCGAGTGAAAATCCGTGGGATTTAAAATCCAAGCCACTAGATCCAACAACTAAATCTTCTAACCTTTTGCTCGGGAATCGTCCCGTTTCAATAGGATTTGGGGCTCCTAAGCAGAAGTGCTCAGGATCTACCCATTGTTCAAACCCAAGTTATTTTAGTCTCGTTGGATATTGAATCAAGACGTATGTTAAATTAAAAACAGGAAATTTCACTTTCAAAAACGAACCTGGAAAGGGAAAATATAGGATTTCCCCCCCCCCACTCTCTCGTGGACACGTGATCTAGAGTTTGAAATGCGTTGTTAAATGCGCAGATTTTATTTAAAACAATCCCAAAACAAGTCCGTAGCCTAACCAAGAACACAATAACCAATCAAAAGAGCACACCCTTTGTGCTTCAATTGTCACCACTGACACGGGATAACTGTAGAGGGAGGTCCTCATAAAGGGCCCCGGTAATACTTTTAAAAATCCTCAAAGATGAAGAAGCCCCAACACCCAACTCCTGTTTTTATTCCTCTGCCTTGAAATTTGGCCCCGGATTATCCTCACTGCGTGAGCCAAAACCTGTTAAGCCGATCTGCCTTGATCAACGGTGTAATCCTAGGCTGGTCTACTTAGAAGTCAGACCCACTGAATTGAATGGGCCTGGCTTCCAAGGAAGGCGTATAGGATTGCACTAGCAAGATGATGAATTCCTTTTACTGCCACTCAGGCGAAAGATCTGATTTTACTTGGACTTCAAGGAGCGTGTAGCGAGAACCGCTGGCTTTGGGCACCGAACAGGTCTCTCTCTTTGACTTTTTTAAAGAGAGACGCGTTTGAGGAAAATAAACACGAAGGGGATATTTCTTTTTCTTTCGAGAATGTGAGCAGAAGGAAATATTTTCGGCTCCTCCCCCCGCCCCCCCAGTCAACGCGCGGCCCTTGCATTTCAGGCACTGTACACCGGAGACCGTTCCCCCCCCCTTCTTTCTTCCTACCTGAGTTTCCGTGAGACTGAGGCTGTGGGCCAGTTGCTTTCTTTCTGCCCCGACCACGTAGTGGTTTTTTTCAAAAGCGTGTTCCAACCTCAGTAACTGGGATGGAGAAAAAGCGGTGCGGATCCGTTTCGGTTTCCGGGCCAGTGCGTTGTGCAAGAGGAAACTCTCCGGGCTGGTTTCATTACCTGGATAACCAGAAGAAGAAAAAAAGTGAAGACACACACACAAAAGCAGGAACCGAGCCTAGCTCAATACTATTTTGTGCTTCTCTTTCTCGAGATGACAAATAACACTCGGATCCTTCTTTATTTATAGCCCTTTAGGTTTGTTTTAGGTTTGTTACTTCGGCTAGAGCTTCAATTCTCCCTTGAAGGCGGACTGGAATTAGCTGCCCTCGCCTTTCTAGTACTTACCTCCAGAAAGGAAACTGGGGAGGGAGGTGAAGCTGAGGGTATATTAATTGGGCATTTGGTATTCTTTTGTAGAAGGTAAGATGAGGTGTAAGAGTGCTTCGAACGCATCTAATTAGAATTAAGGGAATGAGCAGTAACAAAACAAAGCAAATGATTTCTTCTACGGATCAGTCTTCTCCACGGACTCCGGGAAAGGTGCAAAAAAGAATCTTTCAGGAGACCCAATTTTCTGAATAGATCCCCCCCCCAACCTGGATCCACCGTAAGCTCCCAATTTATTCTCTCGGTGTCACGACCCCCAGCGCTCTTCCTTCTTCCTCTTCCTCCTCCTCTCCTGGCTGGGCACTTTTGTTTATTTTGAAAACCCTCTTTGTCAGTTCCCTGCTAAGATAAGCGGGTAGAGTTACTGCCCTTGCCACGATCCGTTTTGAAAAATGGGGTCGGAGTGCCGCTCTTGCCAAAGTTGGTTTTACGAAATTCAAAGTCCTCCTACGCCTCCCTCCTCTGCTAAAAGAAGGCAAGGGAGCAAACGGCGCAGCGGAGATCATACCTTAAAAATAAGTCTCGCTAAATTCATTGGGCCTTTGTCCTATCCTCAAACAAAAACACGGTTGTGTTTTTCTTTCCGTGACACGCACACACAATCCAGCGTTTCATTCTCCCGTTGCAAAAAACAAAAACAAAAAAACACCCCGTTTTTAGTAAAGGCTTGAAAATGTTACCCCAATCGCCTGCCTATTTTGTTCTATTGATTTCCCCGCCTTGGTATTTCCCTTCTTTTTCCCGGCGAGGCCGATGCCCGAGTCTGACGAACACCACAACCCCAGCCAAGCTCTTCCTTTCCGCTGGCGCCCTTCAACAATCAGAGCACCACGGAGTGCGGATTACGGAGCGAGCGAACCCCTTAATTTTCCACCCGGAGTTTAGTCCCGTAATAATTGCTAGCAGTTCTCTTCCTTCTGGGGGAATCGCTCCAACCCGAGAGTAGCGCCAGTGTGGATTCGACCTTTCTTCTCCACACCCCAAATAGGTACCCCACAGTGAATTTGGCGGATGGCCTTTATTTAAGTGTTTGTTGGGCGGGGGAGAAGGGAAGCTTTATAAAATACCTGAAGAGCAAATATATACTTTTTCCAAGGCATTGGCGTGGGTTAGAATTGCAACTGCACCCAGGGAGTGAGAGAGACAGAGAGCAGGAGCGCACGTATAGCAGGACGGATGCCTTACAGGCAAAGGCAGCGGGTGCAGATCTCTCAGGCTGATTGCTCCTCTCTCCCCAACCCCCCCCTCCCCATTTCAGCCTTCAAAAGTCTTAATCACTGGGCCTTCGAATTTCTCTCTCCCTCTCTCCCTCTCTCTCCCTCTCTCCCTCTCTCTCCCTCTCTCTCCCTCTCTCACACACACACACACAAACGAAGTTACCGTCTCTCTTTTTATCTCTCTGGCTGTCTCACCTGCCACGGGTCCTTTCACCCACTCTTCTATTTAGTGGTAATTATGTGCGAACCCATCAAGAAAGGAAAAAAAGAAAGGAAAGGGAAAAGGAAACGAAAGGGCAAAGCTGTTAGTCAGGAATCTTTCCCAAGTCTTTGCAGCTTTACTTTGTGCTGTTCTGAAGATCTCCCCGTTCATTGGAAAATGACAGCGGAGGGGGGGGGGAAGGTGCCAAACCAAAACAAGGGGATGCGACTGCAGGGTGACTTAAGTTGTTATTTTCCTGAGAAGTTAAGACCCTTGGAGACCCTGGACTTCAAAGGAATGTATTCCAAGGAACTTCCCTTAGAAGCCGCACTTCGGAAGCCGATTACTGTAACTCGAAGGACTCACAAAGAAATAAGGCTAAAGAATGTGTATATGTGCTTGTATTTTAGTTAGTTAGAAATACACACATGCACACAATACAAAGTCTTCTCCTGAAGCCGCTAGGGGAGTTTCTCAAAGAAGTAGCATAAATATTTGAGTTCAGGAGACAGCATTAATCCCCAATGCATGTCACCTTTGCTTTGTCTATTTAAAAATAAATTCGGTTGAGAGATATTAAAAGCCGCCCTAATACTAAGAAGAATTAGCTTCCACCCTACCCCTTTGTTCTCCTCCGGTTTTAATAGACTCTAGTGTCTTTTCATTGGAATTTCCAGCGATAGGTTAATTTACAGGAGAAGCCCCCCTGCCCCCTGAGTTAAACGATTACACCAGTTTATTTCGTCGAAGATTCAGACGAACACGGGAAAAAAAAGGGAGGGGGAATAGGGAAAAAAAAAACCTAAACCGAAAAACAGGAATTTCCACAAAAATTCCCTCTCTTCTCCCGGAGGAGGCGGTGGCTCCTTTGAGCGAAATCGATTCTCGAAATCGTGGTTCCCGAGGAACCCTGCTTGCTCCATTCTCTTTGCACTCCCACCAGTCTGCAGATCCACCAAGAAAGAGGGAAGAAGCCGGAGTTCCCTTGAAGCTGATCCGGACTAGCTCAAATAATTATTTATCGGGGACGCAAATAGCTTTCGAATTGGCAGGGACAAAGCCGCGACTTCCTCCTGGCTTCCACCTGAAGTCGAAGGCGGTGGACTTGGCCCTCTTCCTCAATAACGGCAATCGGGAGTCCCCCTCCTCGATTTATTTCCCCACCCGTCCTGTGCAAAAAAAAAAAAAAAAAAAAGCCGGGGAAGCGAGCGTGCCGGCCCTCTCCTCGGCGCTTACCTTGGAACCGGTGGCCCAGATACCGGTATCTGTGTATGAGCCAGGGGTAGAAGGTGGACGGGTCCCTTTGCTGCGAGGCGAAGAGCGGGTGCGGCGAGGGAGAGGAAGGCAGCGGGTGGGCGGCCAAGGCGTGGGGCGGGGGCACGGGGTGGACCGGGACGGCGGCGGGATTCGGCGGGTGCGAGACAGCCTCGGCGAAGACCAAGTCCGGGTTGGAGTAGACTCCCCGCCCGCCCGAGTGGAAGCCGTTGAGAAAAGGATTCATGGGGCTGGAGTTGGCATAGCTGAGCGCCGCCGGCCGGATGGGATCCTCGGCGCGGGAAGCGGGCAAGGAAGGGCTGTCTTTGGCCACCAGAGATTCGATGGTGAAGCAGCGTTTCGGGGTAGGCTGGAACATCCTGGCGACGAGCTGACGCTCCTCCGGCCGGCCTGCCGCCTGCCGCCGCTTCTCCTCCTCCTCCTCCTCCTCCTCCTCCTCCTCCTCCTCGGGGTCCTGGCCAGGAGATCGGAGGGATCGGCCCGCCTAGATCCAGAATCCGGCCGCCGAACGGCCGCCAGCGACGGCAAGAGGAGGAAAAGTGCTCGGCCGCCCGAAGAGGCGAGCGCCCGAAAGGGAGACGCTCTCTGCAGCCGCTCCGCTCGGCTCCCGCGCTCCCTTCATCCGCTAAGGGGAGAAAAAAAGTTGCTGGGCGAAGTTCTGGCTTTTTTTTCTTTTCTTCTTCTTCTCCCACCCCCCCCTTTTTCTTCGCCACCCCCCGCCCGCCTGCCCGCCCGCCCGTCCGTCCGTCCGTCCGCCCTCCCGCCCGCTCCTTCCTTCCTTCCTTCCTTCCTTCCTCCGCGCAGCGCCCGAGGCGGCCCCTTTCAAGTCCAGCGGCAATCCATGGCAGGCGAGCGATCGGGGTCCCTTTGCCCAAAGTGGCGCAAACGATTTGTTAGTTCATGAGCCTAATTAGTGCCGCGGATCACATAAACAGCTTCCTCTGAAGCCTGGTAAATGGCTTGATGATTGGTCGCTATTACTCGCCTTGAGGTTGAAGGGGGAAAGACTCTTTCAAGTGCGTCAGAGGGGAGAGGCAAAACTTCTGGCCCACGCGATCCTGGAGGGATGGATCCGGGCCCGACTGGAACGGACTCCCTCCGCCTGCCTGCCTGCCGGCCGAGACGGAAGGGGGCGAAGGAGGGAGGGAGGGAGGGAGGGAGCCAGGCGCAAAATCACCGGAGGAGGCAGGAAGAGACGGACGCGGCGGCGGTCCCGCCAGCGGAATCCAAGCCCCGCCAGGAGGCAGGTAGGAACGGGGCGGGGAGGGGGGGGGCGGTTTCCCAGCTTTGAGGAGAGACAGGGAGGAGCTGGGGCGGGAGTGTGGGAAAAGAAGGGAGTCTCTCGTCGGGCTTAAAACGAAAACAAACGCCGAGCCGGCTTGCTCAAGGCCCCCAACGCCGCGCTTCGGTGGGAAGGAGCAGCTGAGGTTTTTTCGGGCGGGGGGGAACCCATCTCCAGCCTTTCTGGGAAAGCTGAGGTTCGGGAGATGGGTCGTGGCTGGGGGGGGGAGGACACGCGGCGGTTTCCCTCGTTCGAGCGCCTCCTCACGCCCCCTTTACACCTGAGGAGCTTTTCCCCATCCCCATCTGCAGTCCCGGGGTATGTGGGGGTGTGTGTGGGGGGGTCACTTTCTCCTTCAGGGACTTTTCCGGAACTCCTGTCGGGATCCCTCCACAATTCCGGCTTTTTCTCGTCCCGGAGGGAGAAAAAGAAAAAAGAACTCGGGGAGTGCCACGCCGCCTTCCCTGGCTCGGGCCGGCAGCAACTTCGGGGAGACTCTTAGAGAAGAGAGATGGAGGGGGGAGGGAGGGAGGGAGGGAGGAGGACACAAAGCTGAGCTTGCGGGGAAGAGACGGGCGCGTCATCCGGGGATCCGGCTTCGTCCGGGTTTTCGAGATTGCCGTGGCGTTCGGGGACGATTTTTTAGGCCCGAGTCCTCCTGCTCCCATTGGCTGCCGCGGTCGAATAATTATGATCACATCCTTACACTGAGGGCCGCTGCTTAGTGTTTATTGGTAGTTAAGGATCTATTATCTATTCATCAACCTCCTATTTTTACCAATTACGCTCTCCTAAAGTGAGGTACCAGCAGGTATTTTTCACGTTTACCATTAATGATTTAAAAAAAAAAAATCTGCGTCTTTTAAATCTATTGGGCGATGTGGTTTATTTTCTGAAAGGCGAGGAATTGTGTGTGAAGAAGCATATTTCTGCGATGCAAGAAATCCTCTTTCAGAACGCCCTACTTTTCTCCTGGGTTTGGTTTTTGGGTTTTTTTGGGGGGGGGTTGGTCCTGTTTTCTTCCCACTCCTTTACCTAGAAGTAAATAAACTGAGATGTTATTGTTTAAATTGATCAGCACGTTCATATAATTGGATACTTATCTGCCTTTTCTTCATAACATACTCTCAATCAAACAAAACAAGGACAAGGGTTGCTGGGGAAGCTAAGATGACCACGATCTCTCGTGGGAAAGATAGTTAGAACTAGGATATAAACGCTTAGGAGTTCCCTTCAGACTGGGCATTTTGTGAGTGTCTAATGCGAAATATACTTTTTTTTTAATCCACAGTCCACTTCCACTACTTTTATATTTCCTTTTATTTGACATATAAAAATAACATATAAAATACAAACATGTTGAATATATATATATTCATAAGCGAATGCTGTTGAAATGAATACAATTATTAACATCATATATCATTACATAAAAGCCAAATATTTCTCGGTGGACTGCAGGTAGGCGAAAGGGGAGAGTAAATTAGAAACGCTTTCAGCGATGTGCCTCCATAAAGAAGCTTACTGGAGTTTTTTAGTCTGCCCGCATCGCTTACGTTCTCCTCGCCTTCGTCCTCGTAGCCTGATGCATTGGTGTGTGTTTAATATTCTTTCAGAGGAATATTTAATTCAGAGAAAAAGGTTGGCACCTGAACTTGCTTTTGCTTGGCGATTCTAAGCCTCTTTTCATTTTCCCGTAAAAGATTCATCTACACTGCAAAACAGTCCATCTCCGTCCACCCTTCCCTTTCGTTTCACACGACCGAATATTTTGGCTAGAGCCTTAGAAAAGGGTAGAACGGGGGGAAAATGGCCTTGGAAAGAGCATTTTGTATCTATAGGCGAATATACGAACCACGCAGTTAATCCGGAATTGAAGATTTCTGTTGATCCAACTATTTTGGATTCACTAGCAAAGAATTCTAAGGGATCGCCATTTCTCTTCCTCTCCTAAAGGTGCGAAATCTACTCACTTTTGCCGGAGCACTTTTATCTCTGTCCAAGTATAAATACAGAATACAAGTACTGTGGTGATAATAATTTATTTTATCCTTGGTTGCATACAGAAGGAGAATTCTCCCGAAATCAGCGGATTTGACAAGCTTGGACAGATTGATTTATCAACAGATCTAAGCCCTCTTTACAAGATGCAGCCGTAGGCCAAAAGATTCCGCCATGGGATTGGAACAGGGGTGGGAAAGGGGTTTGGGGGAAAAAAAAGACTTCAGGGGCCACTTTACAGCCAAACCAAGTTTGGGTTGTGAAAGTTCCCAAATGGTGGTGGTGGAGAGTGGAAGAAGTACAGGCAGGCCAATTTGCTTCTAGACTATCTCCAATTTTAATTTCTGCCAAGAAAGAAAATCTCACTATCTAAATATCTCCAGTCTGGAGGTTTGAGCCCGCTTGCCGCGTTAGGGTGAGTCCCAAGCCTTTAGTGAGTTTCTGGTACGCCGGAGAATATCTCCAGCCTTTGAAACTGAACAGTTTCGGAATAGCGACTCCGAAGTGAGAAGCCGGCGGGGCTCTTTGGCTTCTCGGTCTAACTTTGACAGGAAGCCCATCCGAATGGGCTTCGCCTCCAACCAGATCTCACCTGCCAAGGTCGTCCCGGGCTCTTTCAAGACGAAGAGAACTGGAGCCCGGGGAAGCCCTCCCCGTCTTTGGACCGTTTGGCGGCGCAGAAACCTGCCTGCTTTGTGGGTTGGAGCTGCGGAAGGGCCGCCTTTCCTCCTGGGCTGCGAGTCAGGGGGGGAAACTCCGGGGTTTTTCTACCTAGGCCAAAATAAGCGTTCCGTTTATTCCACACTTCGCAGGAGCTGCTGGGCTGCCGAGAGGCCTTTCCAAAAGAGGTTTGCGCTTTGTTGGGACGGGAGAGACTTTGTGTGTGTGTGTGTGTGTAACAGAAGTTGGGGGGAGGTTGCTCCTATTTTTTTTCCTGGAGCTTTTCATTCGGTGTCCTGAGTTTGGATCCCCTTCCCCGTGGTCCTGATGATCTGATTCCTTCTTCTCTGTCGCCCACCAATTATTTAAAGGCTGGTTCAGACTAATCAACCCCGCGCCTCCACCGTCGCAACCTCCAAAATTCCCGGGAAAGAAGTCAGGCCGTAGACACGCGGGCGCGGCGAAAAGTTCCGTCTTCCTGCTCTCCTAAGGCCCTCGTGGGCTCAGCGGAACTGGCCCGGGCTCACAAGAAAGACCCGGAGGGAGTGGGGCCGGGCGGACAGGCGGAGAAATAATCGTAAGTGACTTCAATACAGATTCAGCTCTACCTGAATGCAAATTCAGATTCATTGTCCGGTAAGTTGAGCTACTCCGAGACCTGTTCCAAAGCCTTTGAAGTGCCCGGAGCCAGCCTGGCTGTGGAGGCTCGGCTTGCCTTTTCTCCTTCCCTGGGATAGGCCAGAGATGGATCTGCTAAGACACAGGAAGGCTCAACCCTTTGAGAATGGCAAGAGGTCGGTGGCCCCAAAAGCGCCTCTTTCTCCGGACAGTCAGGTTGCGGCGTTCATTCAGATGCAGTGAGCAAAGCCTTCACTCCCGCCCTAGCAGGAGCAGGGAAGAAGGACCGGATTGGCCTGCGCTCTCCTTCAGATCTGATCTCCGGAGCAGCTTCCCCTTCTATCGGAAAGAAGCGCGGCCTTGCTACCTAGCTTGCTTCGGATGCGCCAAGGAATCCTGAATCGACGGCTCCTTGGCGGCTTTGACTGCCTGGGCGATGTCCGCGCTAGCCGTTCCCCCCGTAGTCGGAATCCCTCTTTCACGGGGATACCTCAGGGATACGCGGGTCCCAGAAAACCAGCTGAAGAATTAAGAGTGAAGTTCGGGATAAACGTGAATAGCGTCTGGCCCTGAACGGAACCTCTGGCCAAGTGTATTCAGAAAGAAACTTCCAGGGAATGCCAAGATGCCAACTTGGCAGTGCCCATGAATCAGTAGGAGTCCACCGAGTGGGGCCATCTTTCCTTGCCCGTAATTCGGAGCCCTTCCTCTTCCCCTGCTAAGAGACCCCCAGGATGCAGCTTGGAACTGGTCCCTGGGTCCCCATCGCAGCATTCCTCTCTCTGGGCCTATTTCAGATCCCGAGCAGGCCAGCAATGTGGTGCTGGAAGGTTGGAAGCTGAAGGGAGATTCTTTGCCTGGATAGAACAACCTGGGAGTGTGCCTGGTTGTGTGTAGCACTGTGTGTTGTGGGAGAGACTCCGGAGACTTGCTAGTTTCAGTATATAATTTCTGGCACTCCACTCCGGCTCTGCTGAGGTCTGCAGGTCAGGGCGGATTCCCTCCAGAAAGCTCTTCAACCTGACAGGGGGAATTAAGCATCAGGGAACGCCAAGCACCATTAAGGACTCCGGGATGGTCTCGGCAACATGACCTGAGTAGAAATGACCCTAAAGAGCCCGGCTGTAAATTAAAAACAAACAAACAAGAATGGCAAACAAAAGCAAAAGCAGAAATAGGGGGGGAGGAGGGAGGTCATTTCCGGATGTTTGTGGATTTCCTCCTGTCCTTTGAGGTAGAGGTTTGGATTTCAAAAGTTAGTCTCAGGAGCTAAAAATACTCCTTGTTCCTGAAGCTCGCGCATTGGTTCAAGCATATTTATTTCGAAGTAAGGCCCACCGATCTTCATGCAGCTTATTTACAGCAAAATAAGATGATCCTCTGATTAAGCTATCAAGATAATTACTTCCCCCCTTTTCAAAGCAACCTCAGTAAAACTGCCACAAAATATATACTGCTCCCCTCCCAGATGTCTGCATTTGGAAGGCTTGTTAAGAATCAAACTATTTTAATTAGAATCATATTATCAGCCTTAATGTTTTTCCATCCTCTCTGTCACCCCATAAAATAACATATCCAGCCAAGCAGAGAGGCCATAAGGACTACAGTCCAATTGGCTAAACTGCAAACTTTTAAAGAATTTAATTAGCAATTTTTAAACCCTTCCTAGGATTACAAGTCTATGGA